GGATCCAACCAGCTTCCTTAGCTGCATCCGATGCTGCTATGTACTCGGTTTCTGTAGTCGAATCTGCCACGGTTGGCTGTTTGGAACTCTTCCAACTGATAGCCCCACCGTTCAGGCAGAAAACATAACCTGACTGCGATCAATTCGGAAATGGAAGTGAAAAAAATAATAATAAAATGGAAAAGAGTACGAAGCCGGAAAACGTAAAAAAAAAATCAACAAATAAGCGAAGAAGAATTTGAAATTTATCTTCAGTCCGGACCTGACCATGAACTGGTCAGTCGGACCAAGGTCGGATCGTCGGACCAAGACGAGGAGGAACGAATCGAAAAAATATAAAAAATTTTGGGAAAGTGAAGTTGGTCCGCCGGACCAAAATCTGGTCAGGGTCAGACCAACGTACTAAGCCCGTTAGATGGACCCAAGGAAAGAAGGGGGGATCGAAAGAAGAAAAGAGAAGGTTGGTCCGGGGCTGACCAGAAGTCAGTCCGCCGGACCAGACCCATTCCGAGAGAAAGTTCCACGTTTGGACCAAAGGAACGGACCGAGAGGAAGGAAGTGAGTGTGGTCTGGGGCTGACCAAATGTGGTCAGCCTGACCAGAACACACAATCGGACCGAAACGGGCATCGATGGACCAAAAACCTGATTTGGTCATCCGGTCCAGCGGACCAAGTTCTTGGTCCGGCGGACCGCAGTGCAAAATTCTGCCCAAAGTAACCACTTTCCCATGTGATTTTCTCGCGCCTAAGCGGCTCCACACGACAACCAAACGCACTAAACCAGTAAAATGCGACCCTAGCTTGTTTTTAGACCCCCCTTTTCATCCTACTCTTCCCCTTTATCCTTTATGACACCTCCAATCACCCAACTCCACCATTAGAGAAGAAAAATCTGGAAAAAAAGGAAGAGAGGAAAAGAGAGAGGGGGAGAAGAGAAAGAAGGAGAGAAGAGAGAAAGGAAGCTCGTGGAAGTAAGGAGGGACTGTCCTAGAAGGTCTCTAGGAGTTCATGACAGATAGAAAACCCAGAAACATCGCACAAATCTCGACCAAGACAGATCAGAACCGAAACTGAGGTAAGTGGCTTGAGTTGCATCTGTGTAAGCTCGTTTTCATCAATGTGTTTGGTTATCTCTATAATTTGTTAATTGAGTTTGAAAGAGGACATTTAAATGAGAATTTAGAAACAAACGACGCTATATTTGGCTGAGAAACAAAGGAGATATGAACAAACGAAAAACTGTGGAAAAACTGATATTGCAGAATCGCGATTTTTCGAGGTTCAGGCATTACGAATCGTTTTTCATTGTGTATACATGAGATTTAAATAATCTAAAGCTTGGATATGAAAAAAGGACATCCCAATGAACATTTAGAAACAAACGGTGCGTGATTTGGTTAAGAAACGAGTGAGTTATGAGCAATCGAAGTCGGACAAAAAATCTGAAAACGCAAACGGACGAACTGGTCACTCGCAGGAACTGGTCCGCCGGACCGAATTCCGGTCCGGACCGGACTAAACCTAAGATGAAAGAGAAGACAAAAATGAACAAATTGAATGAATACGCGTGGTGAGACATGAGAAATAAACACTGCGAGTGAATCGTTGTGTGCTTATTTTTGGGTAGTATTGCATGGTGTGAAACGGTAAGACGGTGTGAGGCCGAATACCGTGATACGCGTGATTGTAGCCGGGGGATGATGATGCATGTTGAATGCTATGGTTGAAGCTCACTCGTACACTGATGACATGCATTTTGGTGACATTTTGGTATAGGATGTCTAGTGCATTTTACTCGGTTTTGCATATTTATAGGCATTCTAGAGCATTAACCCTAATTTTGGTTTAATTTTTCGAAAAATCCGAAAGCCGAAACGGACGGTCCAGAAATGCACGTGGACCGTCCGTTCCAGCAAGCCAGAACGGACGGTCTGCCTTCGGTGGACCGGCGGGGGGCAGACCTGATGGCCCGTCGGGTCTGGCCCTTCTGGTCTGTCCGGTCTGGACCCTTCCGTCTCAGTTTTTTCGTCGTTTTCTCGTGCGTTTTGTCCTTTCTTGCGTGTGTGACCCTGTAGGCTCATTCGATATAGCAGTATAATCCGAAATCTCTATTTCGGATATACAAGTCATAGGCGGTCTCTAAAACGACACTATGACTACCTATCTCGAATAGAGTTTGTGATCTTACGAACGCCAGTGATGATTCCGGCTGATGATCCTTTTGTATCACGATATCATAAGTCGAACATAAGGCATGGACATGCCACCTTATCTGATTCGATTGCTTTCTCGTTCAATAAGTTCGACTGTACGAAATAGACGATGTTCATCTATAGTGCGGCCACACATTTCTACAGTCTCGCTCACACGAGGGGCCCAGCGAGATCTCTCTCTTTTACGAAAGGTACAAATCCCGTCTTGACTATCTACAATCCAGCACATGATTCGTTTCGTACCTGATACACGCCTTTATAGTCCTCCTGTTACGCAGGACGCTTGACGTATTCAAAGCACGCAACTCCTCATATTGGATTCCGTAGATATCTCAGATCATAGGATCCAATCATGGAACCGTCATATGAGATTCAAGTCATGACGCTAGTCCATGTGACAATTTCATGCGCGTCAATCCAGTATTCCGTTCTCCAACGAATATCTATGACTGTGATCGTATCCAATACCTATGATCATCTATATGATCATCAATCACACATCATACTAGTCTTAGTATATCATTATTCCCACAATGACATATGACTAGGGAGTTTAGTATTGTTCATAACAATACATGGATATCATAACATATCAAGTATGCAAAACATGTAATGAATAAAACACTCATCCATAAACCATAGAAAGTGTCAATACATCAAATGTATCTAAATAAAACTCGCATAACAGTACATCATAGAACACTAAACCAACAGTTCACATGGGAGGAATTTCAACACGCTGTACCTCAACTCCCCGAAACTGCAGCTCAGTTACGCGTCGAGGCTCGCGAAAAGAGCCGAGGCTAGAGTCATCTTCCTGTTCGGTGCCGAGGAGATATCCAAACACAACGTGGCGGACCTTATCGATACAACAGAGTATGCTCTTTCCCAGCTGAAACAGGGTAAGATCCCTAAGAACACCACTCAGTATTGAGGTAGTAAATAAGCTTGTCTTTGTCTCACTTGCAGTCGAATTGGGTTAGGGTTAGGTTTTTCAGACTGTGTTCTGGTTTTGAGTCAGAGATACGGTTATAAGTGGTCTTAGCCGAACTGAAAACCGAGCTCAACTCAGCTCGGATCAGTTTGTAACTTAAGCATCTGTTCGGTTTCGCCCTGCCCTAGACTATGAAGCAGCTATCCCCATTTGCAAGAACTCAAATCATTTTTCCTTCTTTTGCATTTTTTGAAACAATCTTTATTGACTCGGATGATACCGAGTCAATAAAAAATATATATTAAGAATTTGACTATACACACTTAATTAAAATAATATCGAGCTTTTTTTTATGAAATTTCAATTTATATATTGATAAAAAGTTGCTATACAGCAAAAGACACAAACATTCCCATACAGATATATGGAGAGTACAAAGAATACATGTGTGTATGTATACATACATATGTCACGCATAAAAGCAAATATAAATACATAAGTAATTGAAGAAAGAAATTAAATATATGTATATACACACACAGAGAATAAAATCAGTTTAGTTTTTTGCAAGGAATTTGCTGTACCACTTGGCCGATTCCTTGGGATAGCGTTTGAGGTTGTCTTGGAAGTCGACAAGGTAAAGACCAAACCGAACGCTGTATCCTAATTGCCACTCTAAGTTGTCCGTTAAGGCCCATGCAAAGTACCCTTTCACATTTGCCCCATCCTCCCTGCAATATCATAGAAGAATATATAATAAGAATCCAAATTCAATTAGTCGTATGATTTAACATTAGTAGCCAATGTTTGTATATGTTAAGAACAACCGAATAGCACATATTGAATCTGAATCGGATCCGATGTAATTGATCATAATTTTATTTCAAACCAGAAAAATGAAACAGGAATGAACTATATGAAAATTATCGAAACCGAACGAAATAGGAAATTTCTTTAGAAAATTAGCGTTGTATATCAATAAAAACCTAATCCGAACTAATCCCGAAAAAAAATTAAACTCAACCTAATCCAACATTAAGACCAACTTTCTTAAAACCAAACCGAAACCCGAAATATCAACCCGTAGTCTTTGGACTTACTTGATGGCCTTGAGAAGGCTCACGAGATGCTTTTGAACGTAATCCTTCCTTCCTTTGTCCCTGAGAGCTTCCTGAAGTGGCAACGTCTGATTGTTGACATCACTATACCCTGTTTTTGTGGAAGTCACATATATATGTGTATTGATTAGCTTATATATAGTGTTCACAATTTTTGTAACAAAAGCTGGCATTCGTTTATATACGAACGTACCATTTTCAGTGATGTACATGACGGGATTCTTGTAACGATCTTTTGTATACTTCACTATTTCTCTCATACCCTTCGGATAAACCACGACGTTAGCCTAAGCAGCCTGTCACAGTTTGTGAAAAAGAAGATGAGAAAACATATGCCATTAAAAACTCAATCTTATAAGCCATACATACATACATATATATATATATATATAATATGATTCATACGCACCGCTGGACCGATAGGAACTCCATTCTTCTCGGCTGCAAATTCACGACAAAAAAAGGTCGAATCAATACATATATATATATAGAGTCACTGATGGTGCAAGATATTAAACTTACTTCTCCTGTCAGCATGTGCGTCAGTGGTGTATCTTGGTTTAGTAGGATCTACGTTCTTGAGATCGGCTGCGTAGTTGGTAGAATAGTAATTGATTCCGACATAATCGTAGGAGTTCTTGAGCTTCCGAGATTCGCTATGGCTGAACCGAGGCAATCGTTTCCCCAGAATTTTCTTCATGCTTTCTGGGTAATGAATCCAAATTCAATTAGTCGTATGATTTAACATTAGTAGCCAATGTTTGTATATGTTAAGAACAACCGAATAGCACATATTGAATCTGAATCGGATCCGATGTAATTGATCATAATTTTATTTCAAACCAGAAAAATGAAACAGGAATGAACTATATGAAAATTATCGAAACCGAACGAAATAGGAAATTTCTTTAGAAAATTAGCGTTGTATATCAATAAAAACCTAATCCGAACTAATCCCGAAAAAAAATTAAACTCAACCTAATCCAACATTAAAACGATCTTTCTTAAAACCAAACCGAAACCCAAAATATCAACCCATAGTCTTTGGACTTACTTGATGGCCTTGAGAAGGCTCACGAGATGCTTTTGAACGTAATCCTTCCTTCCTTTGTCCCTGAGAGCTTCCTGAAGTGGCAACGTCTGATTGTTGACATCACTATACCCTGTTTTTGTGGAAGTCACATATATATGTGTATTGATTAGCTTATATATAGTGTTCACAATTTTTGTAACAAAAGCTGGCATTCGTTTACATACGAACGTACCATTTTCAGTGATGTACATGACGGGATTCTTGTAACGATCTTTTGTATACTTCACTATTTCTCTCATACCCTTTGGATAAACCACGACGTTAGCCGAAGCAGCCTGTCACAGTTTGTGAAAAAGAAGATGAGAAAACATATGCCATTAAAAACTCAATCTTATAACGAACATGCTCCATTTGTTGGTAAGAAAAGAAAGAATTTTTCTAACCAAAAGAATAACCCGAATAAATTTATTAAGAAATTTAATAACCCGAATAAATTTATTAAGAAATTTAAGGGTTCTTGCCACAACTGCGGTAAGCTTGGTCACCGAGCTGTGGATTGTCGTGGTCCAAAGACCAAGAAGAAAAACAATGTTAACATCATGGAGATTGCTTCCGGAGTGGAAGATATTGATTTGTGTGCCATGATCTCTGAAGTTAACTTGGTTGGAAATCCCAAGGAATGGTGGATGGATTCCGGTGCTACCCGCCATGTGTGTGCCAATAAGTGGATGTTCTCATCTTATGTTCCCGCAAAAGATGGAGAAACTGTATTCATGGGAAATTCCACAACTGCGAAGGTTGAAGGGACTGGAAAGGTTGCCCTCAAGATGACCTCCGGAAAGATAGTGACTCTAACTAATGTTCTTCATGTACCGGAGATTCGGAAGAACTTAGTGTCGATATCACTTATGGTGAAACACGGATTCAAATGTGTTTTTGTTTCCGATAAACTTGTAATAAGTAAGAATGACATGTATGTTGGAAAAGGTTACCTCACTGAGGGACTTTTCAAACTCAATGTAATGACCATGAATGGCAATAAGAATGATTCTTCCGCTTACTTACTCGAGTCGAATAATCTATGGCACACTAGATTGGGACACGTGAATTACAAGTCTTTGAGAAAAATGATCAATTTGGAATTGTTGCCCAAATTTGATTGTAAGCAATCAAAGTGTGAAGTTTGTGTTGAATCTAAGTTTACTAAACATTCTTTCAAATCAGTTAAGAGAAGTAGTGAACCTCTAGACTTAATTCATACAGATATTTGTGA